ATTAAATCATATAATCACCTTTATCTCAAAGGGAATTGGTTTGTCATATGTTTAGCAATGTACAGTTCAGTTTGGGGTCAGTTTAATTGTTGGAAATTATGGGAGTTATAGGCCAATAACTTTTTTGTACAGTAGTCAAATGTGCTTAAAGGAAGGCCTTAGGGCGGTCCACGACGGAAGACATCAGTAGTGGAACCATTTCTAAATGTAATATAGTCTTAAAAGCATTAGGTTATATAGCTTTAATGGGACTGGGGTAATATAGCTTTAAAGTAACTATGATAATATATCTTTAATGGGACTAGGGTAATATAGCTTTAAAGGGGCTATGGTAATATAGCTTTAAATTATCTGGGGTAATATAGCTTTAGAGTAACTATGGTAATATAGCTTTAAAGTAACTATGGTAATATAGCTTTAAAGTATATTGGTAATATAGGTTTAAAATAGCTAGGGTAATATAACTTTAAAGTAGCTATGGCTCTGGACTCCCGACTTCAATATACAGATAGATCTCATCTCAGAATTTATCAATCTCGGCGGTTCCAGTGAAAGAATCAGAAGTGTAGTTGACTTCTCTGTCTGAATTCCCACCCCTATACAGAAATGACAGCCGGGTAATGCAGCAATCATATCGACTCAGGCATTACACCAATCATATGTTTTAAACTAATTGTAATATTGATTTACATCTGACGAAAATTACAAATTAAGTTACGTGTTTCGTTTGATGTTAGTGAGTTGTTCGCGTTAGAAAGATCCATGGCCATATTCATTATACAACCAGTATCCGTTCTCTACCGGAAATGAACTTGAGAAAGAACAAAGAATCGTTTTTCTCTTCGTTGTCTTCCTTATTTGTTGAAGCAGAGTTTGAATCTCACCAAAGGAGACAGTTTACCAGACAACCGACCATTTACTGTATCAGAACTTTACATACTAAATAATGGCGAGTATTACTGTTACTATTCAAGCCACATGCTGTGTAAAAGAACTTCCAGGGATGTCCTAACAAGCTTATAGTTATAGGCCGACCTTTTTTTTTTTTACCTTCTCTTGGGTCTACCATTATTGATTACATTCCAGCGTACAAACTGGGTGATTTAACGGTATATGGTCTAAAAACATATTCGAACTAATTAATTTGTCTTAATTTTGCTTCAAATCCTTCTCAAACATTGTAATTGCCAAGGAATTACCTGCTATAAAAATTCGATCAAACCAGGTCATGTTTATGTCACGTGACTTATCTGTCTCAGAGGTCAGAGGAGAATTCATTGCATATGTTGTATTTTTGCTGATGAACGTAACACATACGGTGTTAGAAATGGTACCACTACTGATGTCTTCCGCCTTACACCAGCCACAGCACGTGGCTCGTCCTAGAAATGGTACCACTACTGATGTCTTCCGCCTTACTCCAGCCACAGTAGTGGCTTGTCCTTACGGAGTTCCTTTGCGCAAGTTTTTTTTAGTGAAATCACTACAAAAAGTTTACTTGCCTATACCTCCCTTAATGTACACATAAACTGACCCAAAAGAGTACTGCACTTAGCTTAACATATAATTAATCAATTCCTATTGAAAAAAAAGTGAAGCCTTACCGCATAATTATATGATTTGATGAAACTCAACTGCTACGCGAAATTTCAACAGGCTGGTGTCATGGCTGCTTGTGTGTAATACGTCATCACAAGAAACACCGCTATGCAAATGTAGAACGCATAACCACAAAGAAAAACTGTTCGGTAACTGTTTAGTGGTCCAGTCTTCACTATTTGTCATAGAATTACTTATTCCAATACAAAATGTAATGATATGTGTTGACAATTGTGCGTTTGAACCTATTTGAACTTGCGTAAGGATTCTTAGACTGTATCAATTGTAATGTTAAACACACAGTTTAACGTTACAAGTATAGTAACTAATACGGTGTCTATTGAACGGGGCCCGTTCAATAACCGAGACTATAACGGACCAAACCTAACCAAGTAGTACAACATTGTTCCCATATTACTACGCTGGGCTATAAATAGATTGACCGTCTGCTCAGTGGGACTTCTTTCAGTTAGCTTCTAGTAGTCAGATTTATACAGTGTGACAAAATAATCACAGTTAATTAAAGGTAATTGGATTACTTCTAATTACGGGCATCACTCGGCAGTCAAGTTGACTCGAATTTCTATACATACATAAGACGATGTTATCTTTAATCACTTACTATTTATTTACAAATATCGAATCCTAATTAAATTCTCGGATTATCCCCTACCCGCGTCTTTTGCCGTCATTTTGATCTCAGAAAGTGTTGTACATATAACTCATCATAAAGTTTATCAACTTGTACATCAAGCGCTTAATGTTTATGTGTTACCTTTGACATCACGTGTGCAGAAAGTCCTAATCGCAGGGCTGTCGATTAGGAGAACCCTTACATTTTTGTCCTGTATACGCTCCATGAGTGTTTTTCGTGGAATCCAGTATTTTTCAAGTAAGATTGGATATCTCTACTTTCCATATATACCAAAATTGCCATACTTTTATTGGAAATAACCACCCGATAAATACTTTTCTGGGAACCCATCTTTAAGTCTCTTCTCGACAATTACACCACAATATTTATATATTTACCAATCCTTAAATCTGTTTGGCACATTTATAGTCACTATATAAACAGCCATGTTGTACTTAATAAGCTATGACCATTTAACAATCGATAAATAATAGATTGAAAAATGGTTCTGAGTGTCGTCCATAACATCCGTGCACATGTGAGTAAAAAATAAGTTATGTTCCCTTGTTTTGAAATTAGTCTCGCTTAACCGGTCTGCCGACCATTCTCTGCCTGATTGACAGGCCGGGATAATCAAGACTACTTTTTTACGAAACATGACAGAAAGGTGGAGCAAGAAATTGAATTTAGAAACATGCGCGGTAGGCAACTCAACAAATGTTTTAAGAACCTTATAAGAGTTAAATGAAACTACTGCTAGTATCATGTACCTGTTTAACCGGAATGTTTCAGAGATATTATTTGTACTAAACCAAAAGATGCAATGATAAAGCAATTTAAACACTAAAACTAAATTATTAATTAGACATTAATTAATTTTTCCAGATCATAATCAACTCTTGATGTCATCGCTAGCGTGCGATGTTTATTGGATTAGGTTTCAATTTGCTGTTCAACTTCCATTCATGATTTAATCATGAAATGGATAATCGAGACTATGCTTTTTCATCGTACCGACTTTAGTAATGACGATCAAGGTTAGGTCGAAAATTCAATCGCTAAAAACTTGGTTCAGACTGACTTAATTTGACTGAAATTTTCAGCAAATTTCCTTTTCGGTATTGACTTGTTGAATTTCCATGTTGTGTTATTGTATCAAAAATGTAACAACTTGTATTTCCCTTGTATTTTTAAGGTAGACAGAAAATGGGTCGGGTTCTCTCACACGATACATGTATGTGTATTGAAACGTAGCATGTTAATAAAATTCAGAAGTAGTATATCCATATAAGTGTGTTTATTTTTAAGTGTCTCCAGCCTGGAGGTCGGGTGTTCGATCCCTGCATTGGCCGAGAAAGTTCATCCAGATTTTCTGACGTGGTTTCCCCTTGTCAGTGGTGCAGAATGGAGGACCTGACAAGGACAGCTTTCTAGTCCTTCGGATGAGACGATAAACCGAGGTCCCGTGTATATATTTGAATGCACCACGTAAAAGATCCCCTGGCAGTTGGAATTCGATATAAGAGTAGGTGATAGTGTCGCTGCCCAGGCAAAATTTCCCTCATAGCACACTCATAGCAATTGAGAGTGTGCACGCGAAAAATCATACATACACAATGATTAGTAAAATATATTATGCTGACGTGCAAATGTCTGTCACCTTAAGGTGAAATGGTCTTTGATACATGTATCCATGCCTCGATATGTATAGGATGCAATTTATTATTTGGATAGAAATACATTGTATTAGCATTATATTAAGCAGACCTGTCATGAGTGTCTTGTGTAGTACAGTAGTATGTCTCATAGTCAAAATAGCAGCATAAATTTGGAAAATATTATCCCTAGATTTCTACTAGAAGTGCTTGCAAAACGCGTTTCCCATTGTCAAATTTCAAAAATTTTCTGGGGGCAAAACCACCCCAGACCCCAGCGGTGCGCCTTTGGCGACCGACGGGCCCCTTTGGGGGACGTCCTCCCTGGCCCCTTTGGGGCCAGCATGCCCCTGAGCACACTGTATGGCGTATGCCCGTCTTCATTAGCCCAGTATAGGAACAGAACAGTAGGACGTTAAACTCCATTTCATTTCAGTTCTAGACGATAGCAAAAGTTTGCCTTGACCATACGACTAGGAGTGCTATTTTTTAGCAGATGTTTACATTTATGTTACAAGGAATGACCCCTTACACACAGTTATTAACCTTTAGAACCATTTCCCATACATACAACTAATCACTCTCCTTAATTTGTAAATCACTCTTCTTATCGAAACTGGGAGAACTTTTTAAGGGGAGCGATTTTTTCAGTTGTTTATGAAAGGGAGCTTTTTTTGGATCTCCTCTAAAATACAAACAGGAAACTAATGATGTTATAACTTTTATATATTACAGGAAACTAATGATGTTATAACTTTTATATATTACAGGATACTAAAGATGTTATAACTTTCCATCAGTGTGTTGTATGTGATGAGATTTTTAAACGATATGATGATTTAGAAAAACACAATAAGATACATGTTAAAGAAGAGAAAACTGATAATGTAGATGAAAATTGTCATATTAAAGAAGAGAAAACAGAAGATATTGGAACTGTTTATCAGTGTAATTTATGTGATGAAGAATTTAAATCTTACACTGATTTAGAGAAACACTGTGAAATACATGTTAATCAAGAGAAAACAGGAAAACGACCTAATAAATGTAATGTTTGTAGTAAATCATTCTCTACAAACTTTAATCTACGTTCCCACATTAGAATTCATACTGGTGAAAAATCTTATAAATGTGATGTTTGTGGTAAATCATTTACTACTGGTAGTAATCTACTATCACACATGAAAATTCATAATGGTGACAAATCTTATAAATGTGATGTTTGTTGTAAATCATTTACTGGTAGTAGTAATCTGCAGACACATATGAGAATTCATACTGGTGAAATGCCTTATAAATGTGATGTTTGTGGTAAATCATTTAGCCAGAAAGGACATCTACAGGGCCATGTGAGAAATCATACCGGTGAAAAACCTTATAATTGTGATGTTTGTAGTAAATCATTTACACATAATTGTAATCTACAGAAACACTTCAGAATTCATACTGGTGAAAAACCCTATAAATGTGATGTTTGTAGTAAATCATTTACTACCAGTAGCAATCTACACAAACATGTCCGAGCTCATAAAGGGGAAAAGCCTTATAAATGTGGTGTTTGTAGTAAATCATTTACTGAGAGCAGTAGTCTACAAACACACATTAGAATTCATACTGGTGATAAACCGTTTACATGTGATGTTTGTAGTAAATCATTTACTGATAATAGTGGTCTCCACCAACACATGAGAATTCATACTGGAAAAAAACCTTATAAATGTGATGTTTGTAATAAATCATTTAGTCTGAAAGGTAATTTACAGACACACATGAAAATTCATACTGGAGAAACGCCTTATAAATGTGATGTTTGTAGTAAATCATTTACTGAGAATGGAAGCCTACAGAGACACATGAGAATTCATACTGGTGAAAAAACCTTATAAATGTGATGTTTGTAATAAATCATTTAGTCTGAAAGGTAATTTACAGACACACATGAAAATTCATACTGGAGAAACGCCTTATAAATGTGATGTTTGTATTAAATCATTTACTGAGAATGGAAGCCTACAGAGACACATGAGAATTCATACTGGTTAAAAAAACCTTATAAATGTGATGTTTGTAATAAATCATTCTTTCTCACAGAAGCCTCACTTACAGTCACACATGATAATTCATACTGAATAAAAACCTTATAAATGTGATTTTTGTAGTAAATCATTTACTCAGAGTAATCATCTAGAGTCACACATGAGAATTCATACTGAATAAAAACCTAATAAATGTGATGGTTGAAGTAAATCATTCACCACTAGATCTTCAGGAAGCTGTCAGACTTTATTCAAGAGTAAAACCTTATCAATGTTTTTAGTTAATTATTCTTTAACCCACTTTCTGGTTACACATAATTACGGAAACAACTACATTGGTGGGCTAAAGAATTACTGAAATAAATATATTTATTTACATAGACTTTATTATTATTTACGGAAGCAGCTACTTTGGTGGGCTAAAGGGAGTCACGTTGGCTAGGTGGTTAAGACGCTGGCTCGCTAGCCTGGAGGTCGGGTGTTCGATCCCTGCATTTGCTGAGAAAGTTCATCTGGATTTTCCGACGTGGTTCCCCTTGTCAGTGGTGCAGAACGGAGGGCCTGACAAGGACATCTGTCTAGTCCTTCGGATGAGACGAAAAACCGAGGTCCCGTGTATACACTGGAATGCACGTAAAAGATCCCTTGGCAGTTGGAATTCGATATAAGAGTAGGCGATAGTGCCGCTGCCCTGGCAAAATTTCCCTCATAGCACACTGTATGGTGTATGCCGTCTTCATTAGCCCAGTATAGGAGCAGAACAGTAGGACGTTAAACCCCATTTCATTTTCATTTCTGGTGGGCTAAAGAGTTACTGAAATAAAAATGTTTATTTACATAGACTCTATTATTATTATTATTACACATTTCTTTAGTGCACAACAACCACATAAATGTGCTCATGTTTGCTTTACAAAGACATATGTGACCCGTACTGGCAAAATGAGTTGGAATGCGCAAAGTCTACAAATGTTTTACTGGAAAATGACTCATTACATTTTATATTTGCTCTTTGTCACACCTCATGTGTCCTTCACGCTTTCTACATAGCATCTGACACACAGCATTATCTTTGATATGTAATTGTAGGATATCACGTGACTTATAAACATATACGGAAACGACGCCGTGATCAACCTGGCACACTATAAGTCAGCCTACTATGAGGATATTCTCGACACGATAAGAGAAAATCAACCTGGCACACTATAAGAAATTAACTTAAAGGAGGTAAATCCCTAATATTTGGGACCTAGAAATTGACACAAATGGGTAGCAACGCATATAATAATGTAATACGAATGTGTATATAAACTGATGTTTTTACTCTAGTTTCAAATCAGTTGTTATGCTCGGCGAAATACGCCAGAAGTCTCAATCGATGGCCATCTCTAGCGTCTGGTTATTCCAGTCTACACCCATTCGTGTATTAATGGGAAAATGTTTATTTTGTCTTAAATATTGGATATCAGAAGCTCATCTTTTCCTGGTGAGATACATGTAACAGCATCAATTTTGATTTAAATTGACAAATAATTTGTGTTTTCACAAGTTATTTTAGCTATCTTTCTATGTAAGTCGATTTTCAAAGCTAAAAAACCAACAAAGATATGACTATTAATAAGGTTTGTTCAAACAATACCCATTGATACATTAAACGTGATAAGTTACAAATTTTAATCATTGGGATTTTCCGACGTGGTTTCCCCATGTCAGTGGTGCAGAATGAAGGGCCTGGCAAGGACAGCTGTCTAGTTCTTCAGATGAGACAAAAAAAATGAGGTCCCATGTATACATTGGAATGCACGTAAAAGATCCCTTGGCATTTGGAATTCGATATAAGAGTAGGGGATAGTGCCACTACCCGGGCAAAATTTCCCTCATAGCACACTGTATGGCGTATGCCCGTCTTCATTAGCCCAGTATAGGAGCAGAACAGTAGGACGTTAAACCCCATTTCATTTCATTTCACAAATTCTAATATAGTGTCGTAACATTTCTACACTGAATAGAAATATTTATTTTTTTATTTTACAAATATCAATTTTAAGGCACTCTGTACACAGTTTACGGTACTTATTCTGTAAAAGTTGATGTGGTCAATTCTTAAAGATACATTATGGGAGATTAGATAAAGAGCTGGCAGTTCTCACTATAATAGTTAAAACTAGATAATGTAAAGGGAATTTGCTGAAAATTTCAGTCAAATTCATCCACTCCAAACCGATAATTTAGTGATTTACTTTTTGGCCTAGCCTTGATCATCATTACTAAAGTCGATACTATATTATTCTTTCCATGTTTTAATCATGAATAAAAATTGAGCAGCAAATCGGACCCCAATCCAGTAAATATCGCAGGCTAGCGATGATATCGAGAGTTGATTATGGTCTGGATAAGTTAATTAATGTTTATTAATTTAGAAAACATTTCTGGCCTAAAGAAAGACCTGCTATAGACAGATTTAGCTCTTGTATAATGTATGTTTAATCTATAACATTCTCTTACAAACCCAACAATTTCAAGAATATGGTCTGAGTAGAAGGGATAAAATTAAATCATGAAAATCAAGTCGTATAACTTGCGAAAGGTTATCCCTATTCAAAATGAAATAAAATGGGGTTTAACATCCCAATGCTCTGCTCCGACTGGGCTAATGAAGATGAGACCACCTATTCAAAAGGCCATATCTCAGTTAATATAAATTCTAGAGTCTTTTAGCTTTGCAGGTTTACATAAATTTGTATGTATTATAACAAATATTATTTTCATAATTTTCTGAGAGGGTCACTTTAGGTTATATAGCTCTAATGGATCTAAGGTACAATAGCTTTAAATCATCTAGGGTAATATAGCTTTAAAGTATCTATGGTAATATGGCTTTAAAGTATCTAGGGTAGTATAGCTTTAAAAGCGGATATGGTTATATGCTTTAAATTGTCTGTGATATCACCTCGGTGGAAGCGGACGTAAAACACAACTAACAACTAACTAACTATGCTTTAAAGGGGATATGGTAATATAGATTTAAAAGCGGCTAAGGTAATATAGCTTTAAAAGCTTTAGGTAATATAGCTCTAAAGTAACTATGGTAATGTATCTTTCAAAGCTTTAGGTAATATAGTTTTAAAGGATCTAAGGTAATATAGCTTTAATATAGCTATGGCTCTGGGCTCTGGATTTATCAATCACGCTTCCAATGAAAGACCCAGAAGTGTAGTGTTGACTTGTCTTTCTAAATTCCCACTCCTGTACTTAAAAGAAGTGACAGCCGGAATTCCAATAAGTAAAAGAAAGACTCAGAAGTGTAGTGTTGACTACACCAATCATTAGTTTTAAAATAATTGCAATATTGTCCTTTACATCAGATGGAAATTACAAATTGAATTACGCGTTACGTTTGTGAGTTGCTCGTGTTGATTAGATCCAGGACCATATTAATTATACAACCTGTATCCGTTCTGTACCGAAAATGGACTTGAGAAACAACGAAGATACACTCTTCTCTTTATTATATTATCTTATTTGTTGAAGCTGATATCAAGCCTCACCAAAAAAGGTCATTTTACCAGACAACTGATCATTTACTGTAGCAGAACTTTACATACAAAATAATGGTGAGTATTACTGTTACTATTCATGCCACATGCCGTGTAAACGAACTTCCAGGGATGGTCTCACACTGATCAGAAGTGAATATTCGCTAAGCCGCTACAATCACTGATAAGGATGACATCAATGCGACTTAATGAGTGTCAAATATTATTTTTTTCCAACGACAAATTAAATTCTAAAACATTATTTTGATGTATTAGAAAAATAAATAAATACGTTTGACGTATTTGTAGGTAAAAATTATTTCCTGTTTAGTGTAAATGGGTATTAAAATGACAAAAGGGCAGCATTTTGCCCAAAGCAGTAACTTCTTATGTAAACAATGCACGCGCCATACAGCCAATGATTGACGCCGCATGCTGTGACGGCATGTGTTAAAGGCAGTCATCTTTTACAGAGATATTAGAAGACAGGAAACTAAAGATGTTAGAACTTTTATATATTAAAGATACATTATGGGAGATTCGATAACGATTTGGCAGTTCTCACTATAATAGTTAAAAACTACATGTAGATAATGTAAAGGCAATTTGCTGAAAATTTCATTCAAATTGATCCACTATGAACCGAGAACTAAGCAATTGAAATTTCCGCCTAGCCTCGATCATCATTACTAAAGTCTGTAGATAAACAGCATAGTCTCAATTACCCGCTTATTCGTTAAATCATGAAGGAAAGTTATGCAGTTAATTGGCTCATAATGCACTAAAGATCGCAGGCTAGCGATGCCATCTAGAGTTGATTATGGTCTAGATAGGTTAATTAATGTCTAATTAATAATTTAGATAACATTTCAGGCCTAAAGAAAGACCTGCAATTGATAGATTTAGCTCTTGCATATTGTATGTTTAAAGGAAACTAATGATGTTATAACTTTTAAATATTACAGGAAGCTAATGATGTTATAACTTTTATATATTACAGGAAACTAATGATGTTATAACTTTTATATATTACAGGAAACTAATGATGTTATAACATTTCATCAATGCACTGTATGTGATGAGATTTTTCAACAATATGATGATTTAGAAAAACACAATAAGATGCATGTTAAACATGAGAAAACTGATGATATTGAAACTGTTTATCAGTGTAAAATGTGTGATGAAGAATTTAAATTAGAAACTGATTTAGAAAAACACTGTGAAATACATGTTAGTCAGCAAGGGCAAACAAGAGAAAAACCTTATAAATGTAATATTTGTGGCAAATCATTTTCTAGGAACTTTAATCTACGTTCCCACATCAGAATTCATACTGGTGAAAAACCTTATAAATGTGATGTTTGTAGTAAATCATTTACTCGTAATTGTGATCTATGGAAACATGTGAGAATTCATA